GCCCCGAGTACCGGGAACATTCTGTTTCTCCCTCCCAAACCACAGGCGGATGACCCCAGCTATGACCTCTGCCTGGCCTACCCAACAGACAGTGCCAGCGACGGCAGCCCTGTTCTCACAGTTGGGAAGTAGAAACAGCCAAGAGGCCTATCCAATGACAAATGACCCAGTAGACTACTGTCTGTTTGGGTGGGAGTCTTCAGGAGGAAGAAGCAGGCTAGAGAGAGAAAGCTCAGCAGTTAAGAGCACTTGCTGCTCTTACAAAGGACCTGGGTTTGGTTCCCAGCACCCACACTGGGTGGCTCACAACCATCTGGAACTCCAGTTCCAGGAAAGGAGACAAATAAGTATTTTTGGTTTTGTTGTTGTTGTTGTTGCTTCTGCTGCTGTTGTTTTAAGAATGAGGTCCTGGAGAGATGGCTCAGCAGTTAAGAACATGTGTCGTTCTTAAAGAAAACACAAGTTTGGCTCCCAGCACCCACATAGCACACACATGTAGTAAAACAACCATACACATAAAACAAAACTCATCAAAAAAAGATTGGGAATGCTCTGACATTGCCCTGGCATGAGTAACCTTGAAAGCAGGCCCCAAAAACTAGACAGCATGTGATTCTGTGGATACAAAATATTCAGAACACAGAACAGAGCATGGGTGACAAGGGCCTGGGGAATGCCTGCTTCCTAGACATGAACTGTCCTCTGGAAAAGTAAAAACCTTTGGAACTAGCATAATTCAGTTGATGCTATGAATGAAGTAAATGCTACCGAACTGCACTTTCAAATGGCCATACCACCCAGGTGAGATAGCACACAGAGGCGTGAAAATCAGGAGTTTGAAGTCATCCTCAGCTATATGGTGAGTTCAAGGCCAGCCTATGCTACATAAGACACTGTGTCTGAAACAAGGTCATTTTATATCTTATGAATTTTATCTCAGTACTTAAAAGTCAAAGAGAAGGCTGGTCTGGGGACAGAAACTGGATCTGCTCCAAGGAGCTGTCTTCTAAGGGAGAAGCAAGTTCATCCCATAGGCCCTGAGGACCTGCCCCAGAGGTGGTCTTCTGTGAGTCCTGGCTGCAGTAACAAGTCACCACAACTCAGGGCATAAAAGTGCACAGTTTACCACCTGATGCTCAGGAGGCCACAATCCTCAACGGGTCTCCCAGAGGCATCCTTGTGTCCGGTCAGGAGGCTCCAGGGGAGAAGTGGCCCTCTCCTTGTCTTTCTGGTTGCTAGCTTCAATTATGTCCCAGGCCAGACACTTCATCATTCCAACCTCCATTATCTATCCCCAAGTCTCGACTCTCTGAGCCTTGCCTCTCTGGATTCTTATCACAAACATTCATTACAAAGTCACGCCTGCAAAATAATCACATTTGTAGGGCCTATTTTCCTGTCACACCTACAAAGTGTGTGCCCAAAGGTTAAGAGGATGGTGGATTTTGGGTGGGGGGCACCATTTGGCCTCCATTCATGGCCCATAGTCTGTGGGTATCACAGCCTGTGGGTACCAGGGGCTGCACGCCATACAGGCTTAAAGCAACCCCAAGGGGAGATGACACAACTAAGCATATCTTTACCTGACATCACCCAGCATGTGGGAGCATCCTTCCCTAGTCTTGGTAACATGTACTTCCTCCTAGCCATTCTGACCTCACGTTAGGACATCCCCAGGTTGCAGGTGGGTTCTAGCCAGGACAAAGACTGCTCCACTCCACACTCATGGGCTGCTCTGCCCCTTCCTCCTGGACCCCATGTCTGATTCCCCTCCTAAGCAGGGTGAGACTCAGATGAAGTCTCTGATTTATTTCCTATGAGAAGTATAATTGAAGCTTTTACAGAAAATCAGCTTATTATGCGAAGTGCAAGGGTTGTGAAAAGGATTCTTTTTTAAACAGCATGCTGGGAACCCGTCCAGCCATGAGGAATCCAGGGAGAGTCCTGGGGCAGCAGGCTTGGTGTGTGGGATTTCAAACAGGAAAAGTGTTTGGCTAAACAAAACCTTCTGTTACTTATTAACACCGGGAAGCATTTTCAGGCAAAGAGACTGGCAGTTGCCGTGGGAAGTGCTGGTGGGGCCCTCAGAAAAGCCAAGTCTCCATGACAGTCTCAGTCCATGTGGAAGAAGAGGGAGCACTCAGACCCAGCATGCTCAGCAAGGTCCTGGTCACCCGGGCTCACACGGGAGCAGGGACAAGGAAACTGACAGACACCGTTTTTTCTCTAGAACGATCCAGCATTGGGCAGACCAAATGACTGAGAAAGCAGGGCAGAGTCTAGCTGTGAGGATGAGAGAGAGGTTCAGAGGGAGGCTTTAGAAAAGCCACGGAAGGGGTAGGGTTGGTAAAAAACACCTCCCTCCATCATTCAAGAGGTTCCAGCCTCATTTAAAAAAAAAACTATTACGTTTGTCTAGGGAGAGGGGAGCGTTGCCGTGGCACATGTGGAGATCAGAGGACACCTTGCAGGAGTCCGTTCTCTCCTTCTACCTTGTGAGTCCTGGGGTTGAACTCAGGTCCCTTTATCCACTGAACCACCTTGCAGGCTCTCCTCACTCACTTTCTGGCCTCCCACCTGTCCCCAGCATCTCTTTGACACTCTGTTCTGTAAGAGGGTGACTTGGTATACTTGGTGGCACAAACTTATGCTCAAAAGAAGGCTCCAGAAGGTGACTTCTCACCTGTCATCCCTAGTCTGGTAAAGTCCCCTGGCAGGCCCTTTGCAGCCCCCCAGGCCTGGGCGTAGAGTGGGGCTTTGGGTCACACAGTAGAGAGGACCAAGACTAAGTGGCCAAGGTGTGCCCATGACTGACCACCACAGCAGATCTATCAGCATGGTGGGCTCCCTATTGGCAATGCTCTGGCCCGTTACCACAGGTGGGCAGCTGGCAGACAAAATGCCATCTGTGGAACTCTGCTAGGGGGGAGTGCCCCTACCACACCCATTTCACCCTCTTCTAGACACTGGCCAACCTCCAATACCCTTCCTCCCTCATTTACTAACACGGCTCCTTGACTGTAACAGACTGTGACTATGAACTCAGACTTTGCTGCATTCTGTGTGGCCTCTGGTCAATCATGGAGGCAGAGGGACGCTTCCATGCTAACCTGGGAGGCCACAGCCCTGCAGCAGCCCTCCACAGTCTTCACTACTCTGTAAACCACCACCAGGATCTCACTGCCAAGTGCAAAGCCCCAGGAAAAGGCCATCCACACTGTCCATGGGGGCATCTCAGCCTCCAAGGGCAGGAAACAGCAGCTGGATCACACCCAGGCAGCCTCGGCCCTTCCCCCACCCCCACCCCCACCGCCCACCCCAAAATCACACTTGGCTGACAGCAGGCCACAGGAGCTGGCCTCCCTCCAGTTTGGGGACACGATAATAAGACGGGGGGGGAGGACACGCTTAGGATTCTGTGCAGGCTTAGTATGATGGCCAGAATCTGCTGAGAGAATGTCACTGTTGTCTAGGAACTCACAATGCTGAGCGTGTGGAACCAGGTGGGACGCACAGCTGTGATGAGAACCATCACGGTGACAGGCCAGCACAGCAGAGAACTTACAACTGCTCAGTTCCCAAGGCAAACAGCTCCAAACCATGTGTCTCTGCGTCCAGAAACAGCACTTCTTTTCACTGGACGTCTTTAAGTGGAGCCTTTTAAGGACTTTAAAGTGGTAACTTACAGCAGGGCAGGGCAGGGACTCACGGGTGTGTGCTACTGTGTAAATCCCAGTGTGCTGAAGGGACACAACTTACTGTTTGTTTTTGTTGTTTGTTTGTTTTTGCTTAAAGTTTGTTTTTGCTGTTGTTGCTGTTTTTGACAGAGGTCTCGAAATGTAGCCCAGGCTAACCCCGATGCAGCCCAGCTGGCCTTAACTCTCAACTCCGCTTCAGCTTCAAGTGCAGCATATACCATCACATCAGCTCTCGGCTATTTGTTGTTTTAACGGCAGAAGCAACGCAAACATCCCTTTTCTGCTGCATGATTTGTTTGAAAACGTTTTAAAACAGCCTGTCTTCTGGCTAACAAAAAGAAAAGGACTTCGATTCAAGGAAACTTCCAAGTCCTTGAAGAAGCAGTGAGACTCATGTCCTTGTGGATGAACTGACGGACATGGCACCTGACCTTTGACTCTTTCTGTAAGAGAGCCAATGGCTACCACAAGGGACACTGTGCTCCCCCAGGACCTAGCATGTGGCCCTGCAAACAAAGCAGAGTGCACCAAGGGAACACTCGGTGGATAGCACCCTCAGGATGTCACTTGTACCCAGGGTGGCCTGCATGCTCAGCTCTCAGGAGGGGCCCCTCCTGTTACCCTTGCCACTGGCTTGTATCCTCGGGGAGCCCTCAGATGTGGCAGGAAAGGGTAGCACCTGTGTGTACCCAAGTGTGTCTCCCTGGCTTGTACTATCAGAGGTCAAAATCTTCAATGACCAGGTCTCAACTGCACTAAAAAACCCAACCCTCCCCCTGCATCCCATCTATGAATCAGAGATAGAAGTTGCGAGCCTCAGGAACATCCGCAGCTACACTGTGTTGTCCATGCTGATCATCAGACTGAGGCAATCTACAGGAGCTGGGTTCTCAACAAGCCCTGCTGGAGCCCAAAGGCCTGTGGACAGGGACGTACACTGCACTCCAGCCCTAGCCCTATGAACTCACACCAACTCCAACATTCACACCAGGACCCTGATCCAGAGCTGTGGAGGTACATTCAGGTAGGCAACGATCTGTGGTAGGGTTAATTTGCTGATCTTATTACCTAAATCGAAAGCAATTTTGCAGCCATCAGTAACATGCTTGCAAGATTTCCCTGGTGTGAACCCACAGCCCCCCCACCTCCATACAACCTTGGCTGCTGCCAATACACAACCAGTGTGCACTGTGAAAGCTCCTGGTTCAGATCCACAGGCAGGGGATGTCTATACAACCCCAGCATGTGTCAGTAGCATCAAGATGAAAGAGCCTGCCCTCCCAGTGTCACTCCAGAACTCACCTGATCCCTTTGTTCTGCGCGATGCTGTGCAGAGACAGTCGGGACACCGCAGAGATGACCTGGGGAAGACAAGAGAGAGAGAGAGAGAGTTCTGTAACATTGGACCATCAGGAAGCCATCACAAACTGCACCAAATGTTCTGCAAGCAGGGAAACTGTTAACTAAGCACACCTTGTAAGAACAGCACAGAGCTTTTCAGGCTCAGCACCTGTGCAGTGTTTACTGCGTGAAATCTGCCATTTGGCCACATTAATTTTTGCTGAGAGCTGCCATGCTCATGGTAAGGTGTCTCAGGGAGGAACGGGTTTCCATTCCTGTGACTGTGCTCCTTCGTCCACCCCTGGCCCAGCTATGAGCTCTCAAACTGTTTTCTTTAGCAGGGGGAAGAAATAGTTCACTGGGGTTGCTACAGGTCTCTCGTAACTAAGGTGACACCTACAAAGGGCTCATCCAGTGCTGCTATTCTAGAAGGGTCTCTATGACTAACAGCAGTGCATGTCCACAGTAAGTACTAACCCATCCTGGAGATGGAGAAATGGAGGCCCACAATCACACCATAGTTGCAGTACCACAAGGACACAAACACCCATGTGTAATGCCTGCTGCAAAGCCCACCCCGTGCCTGAAATCTCAATAGACACCGGGTCCCAGTCAGGGTGCCAAGGGATAAGGAGCTCCACGTACTGAACCACATGGATCTTTGTAATGTCTCTCCAGGCTGAGACTCCTCAAAATATAAGCTTGGAGACACAGAGCAAGCAGCAGTGGGCATTCCTCAGCCCCAGCAACCCAGGTCAGCCCTGATTAACCAGGAGCTTCCAGACAGGTGGCTCTCCTAACCTCAAATATCTCTGTTAGTTCACAGAGCTTCATAAGGACTCATAGAAAGCAAGCTGGGGGGGGGGGGGAGGCCCGGGGGAGAGGGGCACGCCGGCACAGCAGGAGGCTCCCACGGGTCAATACGAAGAAACTAAGGGAGGGGAGAAGGAAATAGCTGGCCCAAGAATACAGAGTATGGCATGACAAGAGACAAAAAGGGAAGCTATTCACAGTCCATCGACAGAATGAGCAGGTACCAAGCATGCCTGATAGCAAGCACCAGACACAAGCCTGAACTTTGAGACTGCCACACGTGTCAGCCAAGATCATGTGTCCATGAAGCCTCATGTGTGTCCTGTGGGTGTAAATGAGCACAACTATGCCTGTCTATCGAATTTACTTAGATGCCTGCATGTGTGTGCTGCAAGCTCTCAAGTGTGCTTTATACGCATGTCCGAGTGTATGTGTATACCTGAGGTGGGGAAGGGGATCAGGAACATGGTCTTGTAAGCCACTGCTCGCTCTACAGTCACCAGGCGCTGGGTGTGCTGGGAAACCGAGCTCAGAGGGTGTCACATATGCTCCCTCCCAGCCTCTCCATCTCACTGTGCACACTTGGCAAGCGGGAAAAGAGGGATACACCCATTTACACGAAGCCCCCAGCAGGAACACACTCCCTGGGGGTTCCTTTAGGCTGCTCTGCACTCAGCAGCAACTTTCAAAGGGGGAAAACACCACAGCAAAGGCCTTTTCTATGCCCGGTGGGCGGTGGACACGGCCCACAGCTGAGTGTGTGTCTGGGCCTCCTGTCAGTGTCTGTGTTTCGGGGGCTGAGACTCGGGGAAGTTATGATGGGGAATAACTGGGGTCCTCTGTGTTTGCTCAGACAAGTCTCAAAAGACTGACTTGCAGCTGGCCCAGTCACGGCCCCCACCAGCCTCCTCTACAAGGGGCCTTTTACAAATAACAAGCAAAATGGCTTTTGTTATTATTTTTGGCTTTTAAAGGCTCTAAATATTTAGGGGGAATAAAACTTAAGGCAATATTATATCCTTATATCCTTACAAATACTCAAAAGAATGCTGGAAATGCATTGGCGGATTTGGCTGGTCTAGGGCACACTACTGTCCTTCTCCTATGCCTCCTGAGGCAGGTATTGCTAATCAATTGATATATACTTTCCTATGAGCCAACGGAGGCACACAAACTTTAGCAGAGTCCTAAGATGGCTCAAGCCATCAGTTGGCCACGGCGTCGGAAGCCATAACTTGTCTGCCAGCCTAGATTCATTGCCAAGGCCTCATTCTCACAGGTGGAGGCCATGACTGCCAACAGGTAGAAATAGGTCTTCCCATACCATGTATCTGTGATCTCAGGGGCCACATCCATGTGTCTGTGGTCCCAGGAGACAGTATCACTCTAAGTCTGGCTCTGTATGAGTACGTACACACACACACACACACCTTGCTGCAAGACGAAAGTCACCATTAGCAGTTTGTAGAGGACTCAGGCAGGGCAGGCAGTTCCTTCCATGGCTTAAACATGACCAACTGTGTTGGTACACCCTTCCCTCCATCCTAATGTGCTATGTGCTTCCATGTGGCACCTGCTCAGGGAGAGGAGACTGATCCAGTGACACACACCCCCCCAGCATTGTCTTCAGAGACACATACGGGACCCAAGAGAACTATGGGTTAGATTGGGGCTGGAGGCTTCACGTGAAGCTTGATGCAGGGTAAAAGCAGAGCCAGCACTTGTAGGAGAAGAAAAACATTCGGTACCTCCCAACCCCCACTCTCAGACTAGACAGTCAGGTATCCCCAGGGCTAACACTCTCGGCTGACCATCAAAAGCCTCTCTGCCAGGGCCCCTGGGGACTTCTAAGCACGAAAATGTCAGATGATGACATTTTCCCAACTTTCATTTCCGCCTCCCAGCTGCGTCCCTGATAATAAATGGAGACACCACACACACACACACACACACACACACACACACACACACACACACACACACCTCCGATCTCTCCTCAGACAACCAGCTCCATCCTGGGAGCTATCACTCACCCACCTCAAAACTCAAGCTTAGCTAGTGGTATATGCTGGGGGAGTACAGGGATCAGAAAGGAGAGGTCTAACCAGAAACAACTGCACCACCAGCTCCCAGACACGGAACTCGCTGAGCCGTTCGGTGAGATCTAACACACACCGTGGGCACTAAAGGAAGGAGTGGAGCGAACAGTCTAGAGGATGCGGTGACAGTTGGGGTCTGGATCAGGGGTGCAAATCTTGACTCCAACCCGTACACAGGCGCTCTAACTCCAAACGTCCAGACTCTAGCAACCTACCAGCCCCCTACCCCATGACAGAAGGCAGACCTCACACCCACCCTACACTGCCCCACAACGTCTGGGGTCTAAGAACCTACATTTATTGTCAAGGATCCATGTGGCTGGGATGTGTGCCCTTCTCTAGAGAACAGGTGACACTGACCATACTATAAACTGGGTCAAAGTCAGAGAAAGGGCCAGAGCACACATCCAGATCATCCACCTCTGGGGCACCTTGCAGAAACGGCGCACCTCAAAGAACACACACAGGAGATCAGTTCCTTCCAGCTGGACAGCAAAGCAGAAGACCTGAGGAATGGACAGGGGGTCTAGAGACAGGCCTGGGCCAATGGGAAAGCTATCGCCCGAGGAGGCCTCAGCAAGCCTGCTTTTCCCCTACTACCGTGCAACAAATGACATTTGTCCTGTGAGCCCTGAGCAACCATAGCTCCAGCAACCAGACCTCGAGTTTTAGGCTAACAATCTTGCCCAGGCCAAATTAACAGGCAGGCGGCGGGCAACTGAGTCCCTCAAGGACAAAACACCCTTCTACCCAGAAGTGACAGAACTGCCCCTACTCCAGCCATAGGAAGCAGGAACCTGCCCCGCCACCGGTCTGGGCATTCCGGTCCTGGCAGATGCAGGGTCCTGCCAGAGGGCTTTTGCCACAGCAACTCCGTCTGATGAAACAGATGCGGCAGAGATGGGGTATGCTTGCCCCTGAAGGCAGAGCTCTAGTTTTCTCTGCACTGAACTCAGGACAAATGCCTGGAAGGATCCTGGGGGCTATGAGGGTCTGAATACTGGTGCCAAATCAGTGAGGATGTGCCCTGAGAACATTCTAGTACCTTCCCAAAAGGTCAACATACCCAAAAAGGGTTAATGTGAGACATCTTGTTCAGCTGCTTGGACAGCTGGAGCAATGCACAGAAGGGTGGGACAGGGCAGTCAGAGGGGGACCTGACCTGGATCCCAGTTCCAAAGGAGCTTTAAAACTTCAGGCTTTTCTCTAAAGATAACTCTGCTTCTCCCGTGTTTGTGCAGTGATCTGGTCCCAGAAGCGCCCCCTGCAGCAGTTCCTAAGTGTTAGGAAACTTGGCAGCATCCTAATCACACAACTGGAGGACCCCAGGGAAACAGAGTAGCGTGCACATTCACTTAACGTGCACATTCACAGCCAGGGATTCCAAGACCCTCAGGAAATGATACTGCAAGGAAGAGCATGCTTGGAGATACACTCTGCATGTGAAAGTAACAGTTTCCAAAATATAGGGCATTCAGGACCAGATAAACAAGTCAGGGCTGAAGAGACAGCTCAGCAGTTAAGAGCACTGCGGCTCTTCCAGATGACAAATAAGATTTGGTTCCCAGCACCCACATGGCCGCTTACAACTGTCTGTAGTTCCAATCCCAGGGGATCCAACATGTTCTTCTGGTGTCCATGGGCACTGTATAAACATGGTTCACAGACACACATGCAGGCAACATACTCATACACACTTAAAAACAGAAGTAAAATGCATGCTCATTGAAAGAGCTAACAGACACCTCACAACATGCCAGCATCCTCCATCCCTGGAAAGAGGAGTCCTGTCTGTTCTTGATCGACTCTGCCAGCATCCACCCATACCCCACACCACCACACCCCGTCTATATCTTGTAGATGTAAGCTCTACACAAACCTCCCTAAACACATTATTAAAACCCATGTCACACAGCCACATCACCAAGTAGACACGCCAAGACCACTCAAGTTCACTATGCTATGGCCACCACTATCCCAGAATACAACCCCCTCCCTCCCCAATTCTCACTACATCCACTGGGAAACCCAGGGGGCAGGGCTCACTCTTGAGAGACAAGAAATATTCTAGAGACTAGTTTAAAATGAGCTAGCATGTGAAGCCATGC